ACATATTTTCTAACAGTCCATGGATGGTTATTCTGTGAAATATGCTAGAAACAGCAATAACTACAAATCTGCTTATCTGCAAAATTATTAGAATAATTTATAGGGATTAAACTGTTAATAGGCACTTGTAACAATAGCTATATATTACCTCCAGTTGGATTCTCAGTAGATATTGTTTTGAAGATTGATTGGGAAGGTGTGTTTATGTTCCTCTTGTGGACATCTGGTCTGATATGTGATACTGGAATGGCAAACTAAAAAGGATGAAGCTTTGATCCACCACAATTCTTTTGTGAAGATCTTCATTTAAGATTGATTAAATCAAGAGATCATGAGCACAGGTGACATTTTTTAAAAGGGCCATGTGAAAGATCGTGTTGCTGATAAAATAATGGACAGGAATATGGTCAACCTCTAAAAGTGAAGAATGCTTCCACTATATACCTTTTATAGGCTGAGGGACATTATTCAAGGGAAGATCTCTTTGTAGCCTCTATGGAGTTTAGTTCCCTTTACAGAAGTCTAATAGACTGAAGTACAAATGTGTGATTACTTTGCATATAATGACAAGTGCCCAAGGGCCACCCATAGACATAAGGATCAGATAGGCAAAGAGGGACATATAGAGAAAAAGAATGGTGGGCTAGTTTGCAAGATGACATTGAATAGGTCAATAAAAGGTCTAACTCTTAGTTTTTGTTTTGTATGTTTTGTAGCCAAGCATTTTATAGTTCATTTGGTGAGCTTTAATGGATTGTGCAAATCCAAAATGTAAGAATAATTTAGTGACCAATGAAGCTTAATGCAGAAATCCAGCCAGTGAAGAGCACATACATTCAGAAAGACAAACTTATAGACTGGGATCCATGGGGAAGGGTTAAAAAAAACAACTAAAATCCTCCTTCAAGATTCATGTACAATATAGCCTACATCAATAGAGTTTCAGCATTCCTGTGGAGTCTGTTTCCTGATAGGGTCTAACTTCAATCTTGAAAACCTGACTGTGTTTTTCCTTCACTCCTTATATTCAGGTAATTAAGGTGGAATCATTTAAAGTTTCTAGGCTTCTCTTCATTTCTTGGTCTTGTGCTTTTGTAACTGTCCCCTTATAAGTCTTTCAAGATCATCTTTTTGGCTTTCCAATAATTATTCTGTACTATTGTTTATTTATATAGTCAAGGCCATGGTTTTCCCAGTTGCAATGTATGGCTGTGAAAGTTGGACCCCAAGAAAGGCTGAGCGCAAAAGAATTGAGGTCTTTGAACTATGGTGCTGGAGAAGACTTCTGTGAGTCCCCTGGACTGCAAGGCGATCAAACCGGTCAGTCCTAGAGGAGATCAACCCTGACTGCTCATTAGAAGGCCAGATCCTGAAGTTGAAACTCAAGTACTTTGATCACCTAATGAGAAGGAAGGACTCACTGGAGAAGAGCCTAATGCTGGGAAAGATTGAGGGCAATAGAAGAAGAGGACGACAGAGAATGAGGTGGCTGGATGGAGTCACTGAAGCAGTAGGCGTGAGCTTAAATGGACTCCAGAAGATGGTAGAGGACAGGAAGGCCTAGAGGAACGTTGTCCATGGGGTCGCGATGGGTCGGACATGACTTCGCAACTAACAACAACAATTGTTTATTTATATCATTATTTTTCAACCTTAGCAATTTTAAGGTTCAACTTCCAGAAGTTCCTAGCTAGCATGCTGGCTGGGGAATTCTGGGAGTTGAAGTCCACACATCTTAAAGTTGCCAAGGTTGAGAAACAATTATTTATATTGTTGTTGTTAGTGTCTATCCTGCATGTTTTTGCATTATGCTTGCCTATTTCTTATAACAAAGCTTTATCAATCCTTTGATTTTGCGTGATGTAATGAAGGTTTTTTTAAATCATTTTCTTGCAGACTGACCCTGACCCTAATTTGGAATGAGAGGAAGTGATTTGCTCACCGTCACCCAGCTGGCTTTCATATCTACAGGAGGACTAGAGCAGGGGTGTCAAACTGCCTGCCCGCAGGCTGGTTTCATCATACCGAAGCCGCGCCCACCCCATTGCCGGCAATGCAAAAAGAGTCGTAATACGTCGTGACACTTCACGTGACATGGCAAGTTTGACACCCGTGGACCAGAGCCTGGGCCTCCATGGTCTTAGTGCGGAGCCTTAACCATTACACCACACTGACTCACTTTTACTTATTATATTTAATAGTTTTAGTGTTTAAAGCCTTCTCCCATTGAAAATAGCATGTGTATGCATGTGATGTAAAGAGTAAACTTTAACTCCTCAGTTGATGTTTAGTAGGAGAGGACTGCTTCCTACTAAGGGAGAATCCTTGCTGTAGTGGAATTCTAACTTCCCACAGTTATATTTAATTGGGATGCTTCCTCCTCATGCAGCTATATGGAGAATTTCCTTTGACCACATATATGAGATAAATAGTTTAGCAAGAATCTGAATACGGCCATGAGCACAATGGTGCCTACGGCATTGTGTTGGAAATACTGGAACTGATGGACAAGAAGCATTTGAGGAGTAGGTAAAAGGAGAAGATACTAAATCTAGGAAGAATGTGATGGTGAAGCAGGACTGATAAGTCAGCACACCAAGCACTCCTCCACACACTCTGGAGATCTCGGAAGCCTCATGGCACGCATACCCAGATGATGTACAATTGACACATTATGTCAATATACACTACTAACGAAGACAGTGTTTTTATGCACACAAAGACCAAAAAGCATAATATCAGAAAACATGTAGAGAATAGGGAACAACAAGCAAGAGAAACAGTATCTTCTAAAAGAAATGGAGGATCTATAAGCATTTTACTATCACTCCAAACCAAAATCATAATTATCTAAGTCTAAGAAACTGAAGTAATGCAAGAAGAAAGTCTCTTTGTACACCCTCCCCAAACTCAACTGAACACAGAGAAGTATGTTCTATTGAATAAAATTGGACTAGGGATATAGCACTTTTGAAAAATTTAAAGTGATAGAATAAACCCCATTTTAGTAAATATAGTTTATTCAAACAATAATGACACTATTCTTTATTTTTATTTCAAAAGGAACAAATCTATTAAACTCTAAGGAATTAGCATCTGTTTATTTTTCCCAATTTAGGAAAAGAAGATAGGCAAACATAGAAAACAGAAGAAGTCATTAACATAGTATTAAAATGAAGAAAATATGTATTTTACAAACACATATTTTCAGAAAAAAGATGGAAAGCTCAAAATAAAGATTTTGTCATGTAAAGTAATCAGTTTTTCTTGATCTAATACTATCACTATTTCTTAAAATTTCCAATGTTTTATTTTTATTATTTTCTGGACTTATAAAAGCTAAACCTTAACTATATGGAGGAAACCTTTCTTTTATGTCATTTACTTCTTGATTTACTTTCAAGCCCAAACCAATTACTTTTTATTTAAATATATATACATAATTTTGAAAAAAAATATTAAAACTGTTTTCAGCCATCTCCAGGTTTAAGTGGAAAAATACCTTCAGTAAGAAAAACTAATTTTCTTCCTAGCAAATAGGACAGGTTCTCAAATATCTGAAATTATTATCAATCATAATCACATTGAATCAGATCAAATATGTTTACCTGAACTGAATAAATTGTATAGATTTGCATAGAACTTGGAGCACTTAAACTCATTGACTTCAATCAGTTTTTCACTGAGTAACCAAATAGGAGTTCACTTTTCTTGGTGTAGTGTGAATCAGCACCCCAAAATTACAAGGTATCTTTCTCATTAGCAGCCATTCTTTGGAATTAGTATGTAATTTTCAAGGGTGGAAATCAACTTTCTGTGGGTTTTTTTCTTTTTTCCACTTCTTTTCTTTTTCTTCTTTTTTCTTTTTCTTGCTTTTATTTATATTTTTATATTTTATGTTGCAATGAAATTCTAATGAAAGTATTTTTAAAAAAAAACATACATAATTTTAATGAAGACAGATTTAGGTGCAAATTCAGAATTCAATTTTTTGTTGAGTTTCCTACAATGTTTTGATGTAACAGTTGGGTACTGGCATCTGAGTATTAATTCAAGGAAAGTTATCCATGCGCCAATTTACTTAGCTCCGTAGCTTAGGTATTCTTTTATTTGTGATTTTAAAAATTTAAAAATTTTAACTATTATTTTAATAGTTTTGACTTGTTTCATTTTTAAATTTATTGTACACTGCTTTGTAATGTTGCTGATATGGCAAGTACAGAGAAATTGTTTCAATCAAACAAATGAATTGTGCACAATTTGTTAAACTGTGTACGCAACCTTTTTTTACTTCTCTAAAGCTTTCTGTGTACTTCTGTTTTAGTGCTAAAATGAAACAATACACACCTTTTCACATTACATGATATGGCCTCAAATAATTCAAGAAATAATCCTATTCCTCATAGCCCCACTGATGTTATGGTATTGCTGACTAGTCACAATATGATATGTATAAGATTATCCTTTATTCCTTTCTGACTGAATAGAACAGCAGTTACTGGAAAAATGCCTGCGGATCATTTGATAGACCTTGTGTTGTAATCTCCACCTTCCATCTTTGACCATCTCTTCATACTACTATCCCATCTCTTTTAAAAGATTTTAGTTTATGCCAGAATTGCACCTGACTATACCAATTCATTTTCATCATTTGGTATAAATAGAAATGTATCTATCAGTTGGTATACATTTATTCATTTCATTTTCCTTAGATTGGTGATTTTCCCTTCCTATTGGCTGAAACAGTCCACTGCTTTCTGCAGCTAATCTGCAATTGGTCAGAGTTTCTGAGCTGCCCCTTGAAAGAGAGTTAACCCTGCAGCTGCCAGGTCACTAACCAGTATATTAGAAAACTGACCTTCCTCCTACTACAATGTACCTTCTGTCCAGGAAGACAGAGAGATACAAAGTTCGCATTTTGAATGAACAATTAAAAAGCTAAAATGCAATATGCAAATCTCACTAGCCATCTGTCAAGTTCTGCTTGGGAGGGAGTCCTCAGCACTGCCCAGGAGGCTACAGGATTTAAAAGCAGCAACATTTAGAAGCAGAGTCAGATTGATGAAATGACATACTTTATTTTACTTTATCATTGAGTCTGTAGCACTGAGACATACCTTATTATTGAAGTTGCTGGCCTCGGATCAGATAAATAGAACTTTAGCTGATTCTATTGTCTTAATATATCTGCACGCGTGGTTATATACCCTTGTCTAAGAGGATGGTTTGCTTGTTTTGTTTTTATGTTTAATGATTTAACATGTACAAATAGCATATACTTAAATGGCAAGCTCTATCTTATTCACTGGTTAATCATAAAAAGTTAGAGCTTATTTACACGTCATTTCTAAACACTTTGCTGAATTGTATATTCATTGCAAGAATAGTCATATTTAGTCATTCATACCTAAACTATTCCTGGCCAGGCAAACATTGGTAGATGATAATTATTATAATTCAGATAATTGAGAAGGCTTTTTTGTACCATGCTATTGCATATACTTTGTTTAAAGGATTGTTTGAGATATGTCTTTGGTCTTTCAAGTAATGAAATTTCACCTTCTACTATTTGACGGACAAGTTCTTGCATTGAAGGTGTATCTTCTTCCTATAAGCAAGAAATGAGAAAAGTAAATGTCTAAAGATAATCATTAGCTTGACTGAAGTGCTCAGCGCGGCATCACCATCTTCTGTCAGCCTAATATGAGTAATGCACAAGAATTTCAAAATAACCCATTTAGCACACATTAGTAAAATGCTGCACCAAAAAGAGAATTCTAATCTAAAACCAAACTCAACCTGGGATTTATTGCTTTGTGTCTTTAGCCAGAGGCTCTCTCTTAAGCCTCTCTTTCACCTTCACTTATTCCCAAAGCCCTGACAACAAATTCAGAGAAGCAGCTGCTCACTACATTCCCTGGAACGCAGGCAGACATGCCAGTTGATCCTCAAAGTGCTGCCTAGCACATGCCATGTTCATTTCAATAGAATCAGTGCTGACAGAACACTTTTATTACTCAGATTTAGGGAAGCCTGACATTAGTGAAAGTGCAGGGTTTATCGCACAAGTGTGCGATAAACCGTGTGAGGATAATTTCTCATTAATCTATAATGAGAAAGGAAAATGTACATATGCTACATAGTTATTACTATTTTTCCATCCCCATTTTTCTTTCTCAATCCTTTATCAGTTATATCATCTTTCAGCTCAGAAGGTTTACTTTTAAGATATTTTGTAAAGCACCATTAATGCAGCCTGTACTATATAAATTACAACAAAAATCAATAATGTTTTTTGTCCCAAATCATATTGATAGGATATACTGAAATTATGTATTTGTATACATATAGCATTGTTTAATGCCCAGATATACTTGCTTTCTTCAAAAGAACCATTTGAATTTTAACTGAAAAAGAAATAAGACGTGTCACTGTATTGAAATACATATAATTCACACTAACAGGGCACTTCTGTAAAACATCCAGTGTACTGACAACCTATTGCATCACTGATCAAGATAGAAAAGGAATTTTATCCACAGAAACTAATGCAATTGCACTGACAGGATTTCACCTTATGTTTGACAGTGGGCTCACAGTGCTTTATTCACCATTAATATATGTTTAAATCCTCCAGGCTACCCTAGTACTGGGGCTCAAAAATTACTCAAATTATTGATTTGACAAGAGTTCATATTGTCTCTAAGCTGTGGAAATAAGTGGAGATGAGGTTCAGCAATACAACTTCGTTGGCATAAGTTGCATTTTGCCTCATCTTGGATGGTGCAATATTGGTACAGCAGCCAATCAGGCTGAATCTCATGATGATGAAAATGACGACGACAATCATAATTGTATAGTAGTATCCAGACTAAGGAAAACGAAGGAAACAGGAATGCGGTGGACTTAAATGGGAGTATTAAGAATATAAAAATTAAACACAAAGGGATTTAATATTAGCCGAAAAATCACAGAAGGAGAAAAATTGGAGTTCTCAAGTACAAAGAATAAGGAGAAAAAATGAAATACCTAATAACCATACGTTAAGAACCATAGACCATACTGAACAGTATAGAAATTACTCAGAACATAGTGATATAGAAAATAGTTTCTCAGAAAATAAAATATGTACTTATGAAAGATTAAGAGATCAAAATTATATATATTAAATATGTTTGTATATTTATATCCACCTTTCTAAAAGGCTCGCTAATAAAGTAAAACATTAAATAAAGTAATAGCAGAAAAGCAAAGATTGCAATAATATAGCCCAAGGTAAAGTGCATTATAATAATTCAGATGAGCTGTAATAAAGGTATCTGACAAAATTTCATTCTGCGAAAATGGATTAAGTTGCTGCATTATCTTTAGTTGGAGAAAGGTTCTTAGCTGCTAATACCAAAGTATCAAGAGTAAAGACAATATCCAGGAAAATCCCAGGTATAAAAAAAAGTAAGGCTAACAGACAAAGTATGAATACGTTAAGGCCAGATATTCCAGATAATTCTCAATCCATTTTACATTAAAGGTAGGACCTTTTCCAGACAAATGAAGCAGACTGTAGGCTGAATATGAGTAAAATATTTGGAGAAAAGCCCATAAAACAATTGAAAAATACACATTTTGCATTCAAAAAGGTTTAAGAGTTAATCCTAACAACTCCAATTAAATAAACTCAGTAAGACCAAGTAACCATACTGGTTTTGTCTGGATGTCTTTTGTTCTTCCTTCTCTCTATTATTTTTTGGGGGGGCCTTTAGTATTTCATTTTTCAGTTTCCCATGCATCCTGAAATGCTTTTCTTTCTAGGACTTCCATCCATGGAATACAGTTAGTCCTCGACTTACAGCAGTTTGTTTAGTGACCCTTCAAAGTTACAACAGCACTGAAAAATATGACTTACGACCATTTTTCATAGTTATGACCTTTGCAGCATCTCCATGATCATGTGATCAAAATTCAGATGCTTAGCAAATGGTTCATATTTATGACCTTTGCTGTGTCCCAGGATCAAGTAGTTACCTTTTGTGACCTTCTGATAAGCAAAGTCAATGGGGAAGCCAGATTTACTTAATAACCAGGTTACTAACTTATCAACTGCAATGATTCACTGTGGCAAGAAAAATCATAAAATGGGACAAAACTCACTTAACAAATGTCTCGCTTAACAAGAGAAATTTTGGGCTCAATTGTGGTCGTAAGTCAAGGACTACCTGTACTTCCTAATATCTCTCTTAGTTTGTTGGTCAGCTCTCTTAAAGTCTAAGAGTCTGAGTTGTTCAGTCACCTGGTCCTGCATTATAGTGAATTCTAGTATGACATGGTCACTTCCTTCCACAGTTCCTACAACTTCCTCTCCTTCAATCATTTCACCCCAGTTAGTTAGGATTAAGTCCAATATAGCTGACCCTCTAGTTCCCACCTCCACCTTTTGAGTGACAAAGTTGTTAACTAGGCATATAAGAAACCTGTTTGATCTCCCACTCACTGCAGAGTTTGTTTCCCACGATGTCAGGGTAGTTAAAAGCCCCACATTAGTACAGTGGTGTATTTCCTGTGTACTTGGATTAGCAAAATGTTCTGCTTGGTTGGTGACCTGTGTTACACACTTATGGCAATATCATTTATTTTTCCTCTGGTATTCACCCAAATGCTTTCAAGAAGGCTTTCATCCCTAGTATTGTGTATTTCCGTAAAAGTGTAGTAATTCTTTAAATATAATGCAATTCCTCCCTCTCTCCTTTTGAGTTAATTCTGTCTCTTTTGAACAATTTATATCCTTCTAGTAGCATGTTCCAGTCATGGGTGCCATCCCACCAAGTCAGTAATAGCAATAATATTATATCTGCCTTGATATACTAGGACTTCAAATTCTCCCTGTTTGATACCCAAATTCTGAGCATTAGTATAAAGATATCTAAGCTCATTATGGCTGACCTTACATTTGCATCCTATGTCTCCTGTTTTATGCATGGATGTAGTATTGCAGGTGTGGTTTTACTAAGGCTTTATAAAGCGATACTAATACTTCACATGATTTTGATTCTATGCCTCTATTTATACAACCAAGGATTGTATTAGCTTTTAGGGCTGCTGCCACACATTGCTGGCTCATATTTAAGTGATCATCCACTAGGACTCCAAGGCCCCTCTCACAGTTACTGTTTTTGAGCCAGGTTTCGCCTAATCTATTCTTGTACCTTTGGTTTTTTTCTGCCTACGTGTAAAACCTTGCTTTTCTCTCCATTAAATTTCATGTTGTTGGATAGGGCCCATTGTTCAAGTCTGTTAAGATCTTTTTGGATCCTGAGCTGGGGTGTTGGCTATTCCTGCCAGCTTAATGTCATCTGCAAATTTGATGAGTTTCCCCTTCTATTCCCTCATCTAAATCATTAATGAAGATATTGAAGAATACTGGGTCTAAGTTAATTGCTAATTGCAAGTTAATTGTAATAGTTACATAACACTTTTTGGGAGTTGGGTACCAACACAATTGATTACATCATTATTTCAACCAGTGAGTTTAACTTATTGGACTTATTTTAGATGATAATGAACAGACCAGATGGTGGTCACCTTCTGTTGACCCTGGATTTATAGTTTCCTCAAAACTGCATACATCTTGACAAATTTCACCATACTGATTCAGAAGGGATGTATTGCAATGAGGATCAAATGAATTAATAGGTTGAATAAAAATTGTGCATTCACACCAGACACAACAAATTTCTTTTAAACTACTGTAATGAATGAGGGACCATTAATTTAGTAAAATTTAAAATTTTGACTTGAAGTCTGCAGAGCCCCCTGCTGGAAGACAGAATAAAGAGTTCACATCCTAGACAACCAAGATCTAAACCTTGGTTTAATCTAGAATATGTGCATATTTAAAAATAACGTATTAGCTCCTGTCTCCTACTTTGGAAGAACTGAGATCAGAACTTTGTCTTATACTATAAAACTGATAGACAGTCGATTCAAAATCAATAGAAAAAAGAACTTATTAATGGAATCTTTAATTTACTTACAGAATTTTTTGCCTCCGAATGTAGAAGTCATTCCATTATAGCCAAACTACCCAATACAACACAGATTTATTAATCTTTATCCAAATTTCTATTGCTGTTTTAGCTAAAAATTATCAGCACAGAAATCCCTCTTCCCCCCAAAAAGTATGACAGAGATGCTGTTCTAAGTATTATTTTTTTTTAGATAACACCTGTGTACTTTGAACTAGGACTGCAATACACATGGATTTATTCAGAGTTATTAGTCGTGCAGGCTCCCAGGAGCTTTCAGATTCAGAAACTTCACAGATATTTTGAAATTAGGACTTTGGAGAATGGTCCAGATATAGGTTTTTTTATCTCTATGTTTTCTATTGCCTCCTCTTTTTTTAAAAATCACGATTAATTAAAGAAGACAAAAACTGAATTATTATTATTATTTATTTCTCTTACATCTGGAACACCCATTTTCTAAACCTCATTCTACTATTCCTGTGTTGATGCAAAAAATAGATGCCTTTAGCAAAATAACAGATTACTCTATTAATTGTTCCAAATCAGAATTGATGCCAATAAGTTAAATTACACATCCACTTAAGGAATATATCAATTCTGCATTTTTACCATCTCCATTAATTATCTTGGTATGTGTATACCAAAGAATATAACTCAGTTACTAACATGTAATATAAATAAAATATATAGAGAGATTTCTTTAGAAATTGATCGACAGATCAATTTCTTCTGGGGAAAGGTGAATGCTGCCAAAATGAATATTATTCTCAGATTAATTTATATTCTGTTAGGAATTCCAGTTTATATACCTGGAAAACATTTTCAGAAATTAAAATTTCTGCTTAGAAAAATTTTATGGGTTTTTCAAATCAGAAAATATCTTTACAGAAAATGCAGTTACCAGCTAATGAGGGAGGGTTCAGCTTTCCACATCTGGAACTATATCATCATTCTTGCCTATTATCAAGTATTACATATTGAAAGTCAATAATCACGTTAATTTTCCAACTGGGATAACTTTAGAACATACATATATAACACCTTTGGTTGGATCGATAATATTAGCATCTAAATATACTAAAACTCTAGTATCTCTGGAAACAACAATGCCAGTTAGAAAGCTATGAATGTGCACTAAAACTATATTTGACTCTTTTTCTCATGTCAATTTGACTTTATGGGAAAACCCAACTTCAAAAATTAGGAAAAAGATGGTTTAGAAAAATTGAATAGAAAATGCAATATTGACTTTAAATCAACTGACAGATGTTGAAGATGAATTTTGAAGATACTCTGTTACGAGACAAATATCATCTATCAGACATTACCCAATGGCAATATTTACATTTGTTACATTGTTTGGACCAGTAGCATTTTAGCTTCTGAAACACCTGGGACATTAGAACAACTGCTAAATCCTTTAGAACTAAAATACCTATTAGTTTTTATATATATTTGTTATCAGTAAATCAATTTAATATGCAGATGTTCAGAAATGAGTGAAATAAAGGATTAGTGGTTCCTATATTGCCTAGACAATGGGAGAGTGTCTTAATTTTTATAGCAAGTGTCAATGGGCCTCAAATTATTACTTACACAACAAAAAATAATATTTAAAACTTATTGGACTCCATTACATTTGTATAGAAAAGGACTGTCAAAAACTGCACTGCTGGAGATGTATTATGTAAGGATAATGCTTCTTTAAGACAGGAATCCCCAACCGGTCTATGGCCAGGTGGAAACTAGGTGGTGCAAGTGGCAGGTGAGTGTGCAAAGCTTTGCATGTGTGTATGATCAGGTTGCGCATGTGAAACCATCCCCTATGCTCCTGACGCTGCTGCCGCCAGTCCATGGAACCAGAAAAGATGGGGACCACTGCTTTAAGATAAATGCTTCTACTATGTCCTCTACTTAGTACTTATACTTAGTAGTATATATAAACATGATTGTGCAAAAAAAGCTTACATTTTCAGAGGCTAATATTCTTTTGAACTATATGTCCTTGACTTACGACCACAATTGACCCCCAAATTTCTGTTGTTAAGTGAAATGTTATGTGAATTTTGCCCCATTTTATGATTTTTCTTGTCCTAGTTAAGTGAAACACTGCAATTGTTAAATTAGTAACACGGTTGTTAAGTGAATCTGGCTTCTGACTTTGCTTGTCAGAAGGTTGCAAAAGGTGATCACACTGCAACCATCATAAATAACAATAAGTTGCCAAGCATTCAAATTCGATCACATAACCTTGGGGATGCTGCAATGGTCATAAGTGTGAAAAATGATCATAAGTCTCTTATCAGTACTGTAACTTCGAATGGTCACTAAATGAACTGTTGTAAGTCAAGGACTACCTGTACCTAATACATAGTGCTTTTTTTCTAAAAAAAAAAAAGGTGCCAGAACTCACACATGTCATACAACCCGCCTTGCCTACCCTACATGGTTCCATCCAAAAAAGGTGCCGGAACTCCGTTCTGGGAGTTCTATGAGAAAAAAAGCCCTGCTAATACATGATATTTGAAACGTGGATGTAAATTGATTCTCCATTTCCTTATATGGCTAAAAGACTGATATTGCAGCATTGGAAAAATAAATGCATGGTTCCATTTATTCAGTAGATTGAAGAGCTGATTGCACTTGCCTCTTACAAGCATATTGCCTGTAGATATAGACTTTGTATAAACAAATATAGATAATACTAGTGACCAAGTTATGGGAAACCCCACAAAAACTAATTATGACACTGTTTTGAAGTTACGGCTGCTTCACTGCCCCAGTGGTCATTTGCCCTTATGATTAACTGCAGGCATGTTATAGCACCCTCGTCTCTCTCCCCCCATCCCAACTCAACAGTCTTACTCCCAACCTCCCATCACCCATTGCACACTTATCTTTTGAAGATCTCAACAGCTCATGTTGGGAAAGGAGGGCAGGCTATTTTTCCCAGGCCACATGGCTGGCTCCTGGAAGTGGCCACCATTTTTAGTGTGCCCACAATTACTTCTGGTTACGCTGAAATGGTGGCCACTTCTGGGATGGGCTGCACCATTCTGCTTTCCTAAACCACTCTATGCAGTGGAAAGCTCTGGAGCTCCAGATATTTTCAAAAGGTAAGTGCACTATGGGTAATGAGGGTGGGATGGAGGCCTAAACCCTATGGTGACCTAGTGGATGTGAAAAGGCCTGAGAGTCCCAGGGGAGGAGTAATCAGTAATCAAGGAATTACCAAGAAGAAAATGGTATCCCCACCAACACTGGTAGGGCTATTGTATATAAACAAGGAGCAAACTCCAGATTTACAAGCAGTGATGATGTTACTTAGTCAGGTAATGAAATATCCGCAAGCAAAAGAACTTTACATCTGGTAACATTCATTGAATGCAAAAACCATTTGGATTGGATTGGATTGGATTTCTATAGCTGTACATCTGAACAAGTGCCTCTAGGGCAGGGGTGTCAAACTCGCAACATCACGTGACATGACATATCGTGACTTTTTTGCCATTGCTGGCAATGGGGTGGGGGTGGTTTCGGTATGATGCATCCGGCCCATGGGCCAGCAGTTTGACACCCCTGCTCTAGGGAGTGTATATCAAATATACTGAGTAATAGCTGAAAAGCAGGGATAACTATGCCTGGACATGCAAATATAGGCATGTATGGGACACTACTTTGTGAGTTAATAGGTGTTTCCTGATTCCTTCTTGCTCCCATGTGTGGAGAAGTACCTCATTTGAATGCTTTATGCAGTCCTATTAACAATTAACTTCACACTTGGCTATGGGCTTTCTAGAGGTCAACTATTGAAGAGGATCTTTCCATTAATAAACTGTTTAACTGATCCTGTAGGACTATTATGTTCTTAAGTAATTATTCTAGGAAAATTAAAGCAATTAATCCATTCAAGAAAATGCAATGCACACGTACAGTAACAGAAATAACAGGACATTGAAATTGATATAAACTGTGTATAAAACTCTTCCTAAAGTTCATAATTATTTGTTTGTTTGCTTGCTTGTATACCACCTTTATTATTTTAACAAATAACTCAAGGTGGCAAACATATCCAACACACCTTCCTCCTCCTATTTTCCCCACAACAACAATCCAGTGAGGTGAGTTGGGCTGAAAGAGAGTTACTAGCGCAAGATTGCTCAGGTTCTAGCTATCATGGCTAGAACTCAGAGTTTCCTGCTTTCTAGCCTGGTGCCTTAACTACTAGACCAACCTGGCTCTAATAATATTCTGGAGCTTTACAGTTTAAGAGTAAAGAAGAAACAACAAACTTCCAGTTTGTTGAAATATGAAAGCAAATAATCAACAATAATAAATGCTTATATTAAATGCATATAGGAGGAATTTTTTTTACCTGGGTAGATACTAAGATCTGACGTAGTTCCTTCTTCAGATCATTAAAACGATCTTGATAGATGGCCAAGGCCCAAGGTTCCTTAAAGAAGCTGGTTAAAAAAGACAATAATTAGTTACCTAGTGTGCCTCTCATTAAGGGCTAAAAAGTGTTTACCTGCTTTTTTGCTTTTATAAATTACAGTTCTGGACCCATCATGATAGTTTGTTCATAAAATGCCTGCCATAACAGCATGGTCAATCAATTCTTTTAATGGATGTTCCTGATGTACAGCCAGCTTCAGTAATTACATTTAAAGTGGCTTAATTCAGAGCTGTGGCAAGAGCCAGTGAAGAATCCTGATTTTATCAGAATTTAAAAGCCTGAAGACCTGTGAGGAACTGTGTCTCCATTATCTGTTCTCATTTGAGAAAAGCAGATGGTAGGATTAACTGAACTTCTGCATAAACAAATTACATTTGTGTAGACAATGACACAAGTGTTGTTTATCATTTAGGTTTCTGGATTAATAAAGCCAGAAAACAGGCCATAATCATGTTGCAATATGTTCCTTGCACTAGTGCACCGCAGCTAAATTAATTTGTTAAACAAGGAAATCCTCAGTATGTCTATTCTCAAAATTAAAAAAAAACTAAAACAATAATATACAGATAGATATTTATGTAAATAACCCACATTTTATGACAAGGCAAAGGCTAAAACTGAATACATTGTTAAAATAACAGATGATTAAAAAATGGATTCTTGGGAATCCCTTCTAGAACAATGAAGTTCCATTATATACCTAAATGATATAAATATAAAGTATAGACAACTGAGTTACTAAAGATGAAATAGCTGCCTCTGAAAACCTAACAGCATCATGGCAAATAAGTTACTTTGATTGTTTTATAGAACTGGCAATTGTTGTTTTAAATAACTTACATAATGAAAAGCAAAAATGCTGTAGCCAAAGTTAGAAATCTGAAAAGGGACTTGTTAATGGAAGCATGATTAGATATGGCCAAAAAAGAAAGCCAATTATATAACTAGAATCAGCAACTTTATATTTTCTTCATGGTTCAATAATATGTAATTTATGGAAAGATATCTGTAAAGCTTAGGTTTGCATGCTTCATCCTGCCATCTAGGCCATTCTTGTACTTAATTAACTTTAATTAGTTCTAGTTTTCATTCCTCATGCTAGGAGAGATTCAATACTGTCACTTCAAACTGATTGTTCCCAGATGAGAAGCATGAGGAAAATACGGGAGTTTGAGGCTAAAAAAAGAAATATTTTTTTTTCAATTTTGTTTTTAGTTTGTTCATCTAGATCCCCTACTTTTTATATATGGTGAAATAATCAAATGTTTATTTTATTAAATACTGGAAAACACAAATTTGTTTTGTGTATGATTGTTGCCATTTTTATCATTGTTATTATTGATACTGTTAGCTTGATTTTAATTTTAATCTTTTTTCTTTTACTTGCTTCTCAAATCCATTTGGTTATCATATCTTGCTTGTCAATGAGTACTGTACATTTTCATTCCTCTTCATTATATTTTTTAACTCTGCATTCAACCTACAATGGTATGTTTTTTCTGTCTTCCTGTCCTGTCAGATGTCAATTATCTATACAAAACATTTTTGTAGTTTTTCAAATATATAAACAAGGCACACTCTTGTGGATTTGTGCACTCCATTCTTTCATTCATTCTGATTTCACTTCAGACTTGGTAGCTATTTTTATTCTCCCTTTAGTGACATCGGATAATCATCCTGTGCCTGGACATCAGAATTTGGCATTTGACAACCTACTAATGATAGATCATGGTTGGGAGGGTCAACAGGGCCACAGCAGCTGCCTGAATTGATTGAGAAGGTAATAATGGAGCATAATTTTACAATTAACATCTTACAGAAAAGGAGTAAAAAAAGCTTAATGTTCCAGAACAAGATGCACAGCTGACCCACTTGACTGATACTGGGAATGACAGATTAGCCTCCAAAACCTCATGTTTCTTTGGGGCCAATCTAACTTTCACAATCAACTGGCTCCACCCATGTCATGCAAATTACTTACGTGGAAATGAATTGATAGATTTAAACAATGTTGTAGAGAGACCTTACAAAAATGTGGTGGATGAATTAAAAACGACAGCCAATCTAGATTATGTACTTTGGGCATAGAAAGGTGAGGTTAATGATGGAGTGAGAAGGGATGGCTGGGTAATTTCTACCACAAATACAGCCAATATGTTAAAAAAAACTATGTGACAATTTGAAAATCAAAAAGGACAATTAAAGGGGTTGAGAGCAGCCATGAAGAAATGAGGACAAAAAAATAATCAAGAAATACAGAGGAAAGCTAAACCTCAAGAAGGTAGTGTGAGATGTTACAAATGCTATGATAGTTTTTTTTTAAAAAAAACCTTCATATCATAGAAGAAATAATTATTACAATTTAGAGAAATTGGTCAATGTTTGGAAACAAAGGCTGAACTGCTCAATTCCTATGTTTGATCATCCTTTTCTCACAAAGCAAATATAATGAGTTGAGACATGAATGGAGTTAAAGTTGGTCACAGAGTACCTAAGGGCATTCATTGAAGTTGCTTCTCCAGATGCTGATGAACAATTTCTCAGTCTGCTAAAAGAATTTGCGTTCTGTATTATTTTAACTTCTAAAATATAGTATAGGTGTTCTTGATAACTATAAACCAGGGGTGTCAAACTGCCGGCCCATGGGCCAGATGCGTCATGGCAAAACCGTGCCCACCCCATTGCCAGCAATGGCAAAAAAGTCTCGATACATTGCGATATGTCCCGTGACGTTGCAAGTTTGACACCCCTGCTATAAACATTCTTATTCACAAAAAAACTAAACATGAAGGATCCAGGAAATTATAGCCGGCCAATTTATCATCTATATTCAATAACAGGATAAAAAAATAACAGAGTTGGAAGGGCACCGTGGAGGTCTTCTAATCCAATCCCCTGCTCAAGCAGGATATCCTATACCATTTCAGACAAATGGTTGTCCAATCTCTTCTTAAAAACCTCCAGTATTGGAGCACCCACAGTTTCTGGAGGCAAGTTGTTCCACTGGTTAATTATTCTCACTGTCAGGAAATTTCTCTTTAATTCTAGAATGCTTATGTAAGGACCCACCTCAGCTAATCATCCAAGAAAGCAGAACTCTTGAAACAGGCGTTGTCTCAAAAGGAACTTTTATTAGGGGTTACTGACAATAGGGAAGTAGAGGCAAGATCTGGGGAAAAGGGAGACACAGACTTTTCTCAAGTGGATAGAGGTGGGAGAGGAAAAGCAGAAAGCAAAAGTTATCCCAAGCGAAAGCAAACTCCCCCTCCCAGCAGAATGGCAAGCTCCAAACAAGAGCACATATGCAGGGAAAACAATAAGGATTTGGGGACCTGACAGCTTCTCTCCTTGATTAGTTTCCATCCATTGCTTCTTGTCCTGCCTTCAGGTGTTTTGGAAAATAGATTGACCCACTCTTCCTTGTGGCAGCCCCTTAGATATTTGGACACTGCTATTATATCACCCCTAACCCTTCTTTTCATTAAACTAGACATACCCAATTCTTGCAACTATTTTTCATATGTTTTAGCCTCCAGTCCCCTAGTCATCTTTGTAGCTCTACTCTGTACTCTTTCTAGAGTCTCAACATTTTTTTTATATCATGGCGACCAAAACTGGATGCAATATTCCAAGTGTGGTCTTACCAAGGCATTATTAATGCCTTGATTCATGTGACCTTGATTCTATACCTCTGTTAATGCAGGCTAGGACTGCGTTGGGTTTTTTGGCAGCTGCAGCACACTGCTAGCTGATATTTAAGTGATTGTCCACTAGGACAGATAATAAAATTCGGGATGTGAAACACTTTAAAAACAATGCACCAATTATTTAGTGACAACATGAATATGTTAAGAATAAATAATGTTAGACTAACTTTATTAATTTTCATTTTGAATTATATAACTTTCCCATCAAGTCTCATCGGGAGTTCTTGGGAGGGATGACAAAAAATGTCAGGAGAATATGACAAAAGTATACACTCCTAACAAAGTCACTCACAGAGTGAAAGCTATTTCAACTGCCAGCTAAACAGAGCAGGCATCTATATTATAAACTGACTGATGATACAGTGTTAGATAATGGGCCTCTCAGGTCATATGGTAATCAACATGCTATTGAGAAAATGCTGAGAATCTTTTGAAGTACTAATGGTGTTTATTAATGGCTAGATTAAAGCTTTTGGGACACTTAGTTGCTGATGCTGTCATGCAGGAAACAAAAATCCAAATCTTCAATCACTGAATTACAGTAGGAATATGGACAAGAAAAATGAACAAGACAGAAAAAGATGAAATGAATTGACTGTGCATTGAATCTTGCCTATCAGTGATTTGTAAGAGACTGGAATAGGACACTTTCACTTAGAAGATTATACTATTTACTATTAAGGACATGAAAAACAAAAGAGTTTTGTATTTTAACTTTCTTTTGAATAAAATAAAAATAGAAAATTAAAAAAAAAGAATATCTGATACTAGAAGATGAAGTAAAATCCGTTGCTTCATTGATTATAGAAAGGCCTTCAACTCTGTTGGCTGTGCCAAGCTGTGAAATATCCTTAGGAAAATGGCAATCCCAGAATATCTTATTTTGTTCTTAGGAAACTTACACTCCAGACAGGGAACCACAGTCCACATGTAGCATAAGAAAACTGGCTTCATCTTAAACAAAATGAAATTCAATGGTGAAAAAAGCAAGGTTCTACATTTAGGCAAGAAAAACCAAATGCACAAGTACAGCATAGGTGGCACCTTGCTCAATAGTAGTAACTGTGAGAGGGACCTCGGAGTCCTAGTGGACAATCACCTAAATATGAGCCAGCAGTGTGCTGCAGCTGCCAAAAAGGCCAACACAGTGCTAGGCTNAGCAGTGTTCCAATATCTCAGGGGTTGCCATAAAGAAGAGGGAGTCAAGCTATTTTCCAAAGCGCCTGGAGGCAGGACAAGAAGCAACGGGTGGAAACTAATCAAGGAAAGAAGCAATCTAGAACTAAGGAGAAACTTCCTG